CAGCTGACACACAATGCATGGGCTGAAACATCTACCAAACGAAAATAAACCCCCTGTCGTTTGTCCCACTATGACACAATCAGGTACTAAGAGATTCTACAAGCTTAAATTGGAATACATATTGTAACATTTTAATGAGAAAGGATTGGTTTAGCATTCAGACTTTTTGTTAAACTGCACATGCCAAGTCCTAAGATAACTCATCCTTATCCAGAGTTATTATTGAACACTGCAGGTTTAAATAGCTCAGCAGATGGTGACATGGCCCATCTCCTGATGGTGACCGTCAGTTTTAAGGCATGCTGCCATGCCTAATTCATTCAAACGTCCTATAGTTTCATATCAAAATGACTAACATATTCCACAAGAAGAACAACCTTAACATGCTTTCAACTTTCAGTTTCAACCACTCTTTGAATCCAAGCGTTTTCCTGCTAAAACTTTTCAAACCACTAGATGGGAAATGGTACTCTTGACGACTTCACAAAGTAAACCTCATCTCAGATCCGTATTACTGAACTGAGCAAACTTTAAAATGCTCTTACCTGCTGTGGCCAGTGCCAGCAGGGGCACAAAAACGCAGAGCGAGACTAAGACCTTCATGTTGCCTGCCAGGAGACTTCTGGTAGCCTCTCTGGCTATATATACTGGGCTGATAAGGTCAGAGGGTGCCAGCAAGAGGGTGGTCTTACAAACAGGACTACATGGAGGGGGCTGGTGCCGTAGGTGTCAGAAAAGGGCGCACCCGAGCAGCTGACTGTCTTTTAGCAGAGCCATCATGGCAGTGACGTCAAATCTAGGGTGTGCGGCCATCTCCAGCACAAGAGTGCTTTGGTACTTCAGCTGGTGTCGATTTTGGCAACTGAAAAGGAATGTTGTACAAGAGGTATGACAAGACAACGCTATTTGTGACACGGCATTCCATTTTCTTTAAAAAGACACGATGAATTTGATCAAAAAAAATATATATATACAATGAAGAATTTACTTGATGGTGTGGTTTCAAATAGCTTGTTGGTCATTATAAACTATTGTCCTATTTAAAGAACTTTAACCCGATCACAGGCTGGAGTCGGTGCGGTTAATCACCAGCAGTCATGCTGGGTAGGATTACAGGAGTTGATAGTCGGGAATAAGGTGTAAAAGTCAGCATCATCATTTCCTCGGAGAGTAGAGATTAACGCCTTATTACACAGCAGACGCCGACTCCAGCACTTCACAGGCAGATTAACTCCCTTCACTAATCTGTGAATACACTATAAAGTGTTCATGAAAAAATTCACTTGTAAAAGACAAACGTGAAACAAACGAGTTCGAAAAATTATGCAAATCCATTATAAATTAAGCAATTTAATAACAATAATAATCATTTACAACTAATGAACTGCATGACTCCTACATCCTGTGATTCCCCAGACATGCTCATTGTGAGCTTAGGCTAGAAACATAACGCAAGTACACGAAAGCAGTAGTCCAGTGAGTGCTTGCATTTGGTTAGTAGTTTTAGACAATGCAAGATGTATGGAAACCTGTTTCCAACACAGATTTAAAAACAATATAAAAGGTAATGAGAGCTTTTTATTCCTTCTAATTATGGGGGAAAAGTCAGAATTACGAAATATGAACTCATAATTTTGAGGAAAAAAGTCAGAAATGTGAATTAATAAGTCGCAGTTAAATTATTTTTTAAATCCCATGGCGGTAACAAGTTTCTATATAACTTTGCGTGTTGTATCAAATTTATGGGTAGGTTAGGACTATATTTGACAAAAATGTTAACTAAATTTCAAGGTTTAGCCACCTGAATTTACGACTTTCCATGAGCTTCTAATTTGGTGCAAGGTGATGATACACATTCTAATTTTGAATTTACTTAAACATTGTTTGAAAATTCAGGTAAATCTTTTGTAGTCTTAAACCATTGTTTAACCGTTTAACCAGTTTTAGCCCATGCCAGTCTGCTCCCCTTGACACTCGCCTTGCTGATTAAAAAAAAACAAAAACAGCTTTTTAGCTTACTTATCGCTTAAATGTCAGATTTTCAAGGAAATTGTAAAATGTTCTTTGAGTACTCAGGGACATACTTGCGTACAACACACTGCAATAGTACCCGAAAAAAATCAAAGCTTGTCATCCTATTTATGAGGTACCCAAGTGCAATTCAAATGCCACAACTGTACGTCACTCTATTTTAAAATATTCCTTTGAATGTTAAAGTTGAACTGATTTGTTATTTGATATGTAACCTAGCAAGCTTTTTATAATGTTAATTGCTAATGTGAGTGTAATGCAGGCAAAGTATACCGTACAATGCATACTGAAGACAGAAATATTTACACGACACACTAGGTTGTAAAAAACAAAGTAAAAACTTAAAAAAGCTTTTTAGCTTACTTATCGCTTAACTGTCAGATTTTCAAGGAAATCGTAAAATGTTCTTTGAGTACTCAGGGACATACTTGCGTACAACACACTGCAATAGTACCCGAAAAAAATCAAAGCTTGTCATCCTATTTATGATGTACCCAAGTGCAATTCAAATGCCACAACTGTACGTCACTCTTATATTTTAAAATATTCCTTTGAATGTTAAAGTTGAACTGATTTGTTATTTGATATGTAACCTAGCAAGCTTTTTATAATGTTAATTGCTAATGTGAGTGTAATGCAGGCAAAGTATACCGTACAATGCATACTGAAGACAGAAATATTTACACGACACACTAGGTTGTAAAAAACAAAGTAAAAACTTTATTATTCTGTTTTTACAAAGGCACAAGCCTCTTTTCCCCAGTTAAAAAAAAAATACAATAGCTTCTCAACCAAATGGACTGACTGTCCCTCAAAGAAAAACAACAAAAATATAAACAAAAAAATATTAAAAGAGATGACAGACAATAAAAGAGGGAGAGGATAAGAGACAGGACAAGTCTGGAGACTGCGGAGACGGCCAGAGGACGTGTGGTGTGCCAGGACAAACGTTGAAGGTTAAACACAGCCGTGTGGTTCAAAAATCACAGCGAGAAGAGCTTCGGTCGAGGACAACATCTCTTTGAAAACAAGAGTTGCTCCTCGTTATACTACAGTAAGTGCTTCAGGTTCATAAAATCGCCCCCGTTTCCCTCGACACACCCAACCTCTGATATGTCCTCAAGATTTCTTACAGTGATTTCTGTGAGTAGAAAATACACAAAAAATAGACACCCTGTGGCTTCGGTAGAGGAAATGTTCAAACGCGGGAGAGGGAAAGAGACTTTTTCGCTAAGACAAAACCGTTATTACAGACTTAAACATGAGAAGACAGCACGAGCAGGACACTAGTCTCTACGACCCATTATACAAAATAAAAACGCACGAGTACAAAAAAAAAAGAAGAAAAAAAAGAAAATCTGCCAAAATTAGACCAGCCCATTCTTCTGGAAGCCCCGATTACCTGCAGTCTTCGCCGCAATACGAATGACAAGGTTCAGCGTGCTGACAGCACCTGATAAATCCAGAAGGAAAACGCAATCTGTCCAGCAGCAAAAAGATTCCCTGTAATATTCCATAAGGGAAGGGGGACATGCACACTTTGAATTTTCAGTCAAAAAAACGACACCTCTCACCTTCGTCTATGGCCAAATCTTGCCGACTTTAGCGTCGACAACTCAACGCAAAACACAACGGTAGACCGTTCTGGAATGTTTGGAAACATGAACTGTGAGAAGAGATGAACGTGGGGCACCGAGTCTTAACCGCGTCCTCCGGCCTTGCTCTCTAGCGCCACCTTCAGGGCTAGTTTAAGGCAGGCCTCTGTGCCTCACTGTGCACACCGAAGCTGTTTTAAGGCAAGCCACTGGCCATTGTTTGGCACAGGATACGCTCCGTCTCTCAATCCCACCAGGGGTATGAAGAGCTCACAATATCACATGGCTTATCCCAGGAGTGTCCAAGCCTAGTCCCAAAACCAACGTCCTGCAGAGTTTAGCTCCAACGTGTCCCACTCCATACCTGTAGTAATCCTGTATAATTGGAGTTGAAGCCAAACTCTAGTGGACAGCGGCCCTCTGGGAGCTGGATTGGACATCCTTGGCTTATTCGGAGAGCTCACGCAGGAGTAGCACCACCTTGCACATGATTATCTGCAGCATGTACGGACATCCTCGTCGTACGCCGAGAGATACAGGGAAATTTAAACATTCAAGCGAGCAGAGTGAACCAGTGAGTGCATAGAGCTAGAGCGCATGATTATGGGCTAGTCACTCTTCGGTGTCACCGTAAACACCATTACAGAGCGCCGGAGATGAAAAACGGACAGGACAATACTTCCGGGAGAAGACCAAAGGGGTCACAAAGTTGCTCTCAAAGGGGGACGAGAACCAAAAGAGCTGCATAGGCTGAAATCGGGCCACGACAACCCTGATAGTGCTATTTTCACACTTTCTCAAAAAAAACAAGACCTTTACGTTTACATTAGCGAGTGTGCTAAAAGCAACACAAATTTCCTCGCAGGTACGAGTACCTGGCGGCTAGCTTATTCCATTTGACACACAAACGACAAAAACGCCAGAATTTCAAAATCAGATCTGTGAGGACAGGACCGGGGGGCGCTTGACGAGACGGAGGGAGTGCTTCACCCTACACCAACAAGCATACTGGGAACCCAGCCCAGTAAAGGTGAGCGACATTAAGTGCACAAAGTCCCCCCTCTTTGTGTAATAACTTTGCGTTATTTACAAAGTGCTCGAAGCCCCTCTAAGCAGTGGCGGTCTTTGTCCCTCCATTGACAACAAGTTAATCAAAGGTGCCCACCAGCAAATGGAAATCTAGGAGCGTGTCTGCGCCAAAAAAAGAAAACAAAACAAAAAAATGTAACATTTCCTCTAAAGTTTCAGAAGCCATGGTGTGGAAAGTCTCATTGGCTCACAGTGATGCTTCAAGCCTCCCCAGAATGGAAAGAGTAATATGACGCAACCAGAGGGTGGCGGGGCAAAGGGTTCATTTTGAGAGATTATTTACAAAGTGCTCGAAGCCCCTCTAAGCAGTGGCGGTCTTTGTCCCTCCATTGACAACAAGTTAATCAAAGGTGCCCACCAGCAAATGGAAATCTAGGAGCGTGTCTGCGCCAAAAAAACAAAACAAAACAAAAAAATGTAACATTTCCTCTAAAGTTTCAGAAGCCATGGTGTGGAAAGTCTCATTGGCTCACAGTGATGCTTCAAGCCTCCCCAGAATGGAAAGAGTAATATGACGCAACCAGAGGGTGGCGGGGCAAAGGGTTCATTTTGAGAGATGAGACGCGGTAATGGGTTTCCTCCAATCAGAACACTCTACTGCCCTCTTATGGGCAGGATGTAGAACAGGAAGTGACGAAGCAGAGGCCTGGAAGACCTGTGGCAGATTCCAATGGAGATTTTGTGATTCTCTCACAAAATCGCTTACCTGGGAGCGTGCGTTGTGGAAACAGAAGACAATTCGACGGAGTATGAGTAAGAGCTGTATAATATGAATGTATCAACAAGTTACCAGAGTGCTATGGGGTTATAGTGTATGAGTATGTGTGAGTATGCATAAGCGTGCTCGTTCTGTTTGCGGCACATTTCCTGTAACATTTCTTTTTTTTGTTTTGTCCCCCCCCCCAAAAAAAACCTTCAAGCCATTGAGTCTGTGTGAGTGTGAAGACAGCAACAGGAAGAGAGGAGAGAGAAAGAAAGAGTATTTCTGTGGGAGGCCCTCCGCCACAGACCCCCTCACCCCCTTTCCACACCCCCCGTTACATGTGGTGGGGCGATTTGGGAGTGGGGGTGACCGGGGCAGTTAACAGTCCTCAGATCCTTCGTTGTCAGAGGCGGTGTCGGAGTCGCCGGTGTCTGTGAGGACACGGCCCGGGGTGACGATGACTGCCCGGCGCTTCTCCTCCTCGGGCAAGACCATCCTGTCCTGCGTGCCTTCGATGTGCTGGATGGCCTATGGGAAAACAGGAAGAAACTGTCAGTTGACTTGCTAACCATCCAAATTATTCACTTTATAATCCAAAATAACTAGCTTTACATTTGGTGCAGTCGCTACAATAGATCTAGTCCAACAACAGACAAGTTGAGGTGTGGAGCTACATGGGGTGTAACAGAGTTCTGCAGGGATGACATTTTTGTGGGCCAAAACCTAGAAATTAGCATTTTAGCAGTTCTGATGTCATTCTGATGTCAATGGGTTATTATGAATGGGTTTTTGGTTAAATGCCTTAAATAAGGTCTGTGGTTAACAAACTATTTTCAAGTTTTAATCTATGACTTCAGGTGCAGTTCCCTAGTGTCCACACGAAAACTTCAAGTGTGAAGATGTACTTGCACTTAAAGGGTTAGTTCACCCAAAAATTAAAATTACTACATGATTTACTCACCCTCAAGCCATCCAAGGTGTATATGACTTTTTTCTTTCAGATAAATACAATGAGAGTTTTAAAAATATGTGAATGGCTGTTGAGACTCAATAGTCCAATAGAAGTTCAATAAAGTGCGTCCATCCATCATAAAAAGTACTTTATAACCCGTAATCTCTAGCTTCCGCTAACTGTCGTATGTTTGTTCACAAGAGAGTGGTGTTTTAGCGGATGATGTAGGCGAAGCGGAAACTCCAGTGACAATATGCTAGTCTCACGAGAACCAAGTTTTGTTTACAGCAGGGGTGCCCAAACTCGGTCCTGGAGGGCCAGTGTCCTGCAGAGTTTAGCTCCAACTTGCCTCAACACACCTGCCTTTAAGTTTCTAGTATGCCTAGTAAGAGCTTGATTGGATGGTTCAGGTGTGTTTAATTGGAGTTGGAGCTAAACTCTTCAGGACACCGGCCCTCCAGGACCGAGTTTGGACACCCCTGGTTTACAGCAAAGGAAAACCTCTCTTCACTTATATCGAATTCTTCCGACCTTTTTCTTTACAAATCCTAATTTTGTACTTCTAATTCGTGAGCGGTGTTTTTTGCTTTCTCCTCTGCGCTTCCGCGTTCGTCACTTCTTATCAGAGCTTATGCTACGCCTACGCCATCCACTGAACGCCACTCTCTTGTGAACGCTCGTACAACAGTTAGCGGAAGCTAGAGATTACGGTTTATAAAGTTTTAAATATGGATATTTTTCTTTAAAAAACACATCAATTAACTTCAGGAGGCCTTTATTAACCCCCCAGAGCAATGTGGAGTACTTCTTATGATGGATGGATGCACTTTATTGGACTATTGACTATAAACAGTCATTCACTGCCATTATAAAGATTGGAAGAGCTAGGACATTTTTTTTTACAATTCTGTATTCGTCTAAAAGAAGAAAGGATGGCTTGGATGATGCACCTAGGATGGCTTGAGGTAAATCATGGGGTAATTTTTATTTTTGGGTGAACTGCCCCTTTAACACACACACACGTATATATATATATATATATATATATATATATATATATATGTATGTATGGCCACTAAGCCACAACATTTCTACAATGGGAATCTGGTAGTTAAATCTCAAAATCTCAGGACTTTCTCTCATTCAAGACTTTCTCCTTGAGCTGTGCAGGAATGTGTTTTACCTGCACAATGGTGTCCAAGTTCTGTCGTGATGTGGATGCTGTGTTGATCACGGAGGTGGGGCCCATGGTTACCACAGTGACATGATGGGACGGGGGCGGCAGCGCAGGGGCGGGAACAATTACTGTGGCGTGATGAGTGGGCGCAGGTGGCGTGGCAGGAGAAAACACCTGAGGAACACAGCAGGACAGAGGGTTACGATAAATTAAAGAGACCTTTTCTATGAACAAAGTGAACAAGAAATCAGAACCGACACTTTATTTATGTATATATTTACTTAATGTATATGGTCGTATTGTGTGCGTTTCATAAGTACACATTATTCAAAATAAAAAAAATAAAATAAAAAATTTAACTACTGGTCAAAAGTTTGGGGTCGGTAAGATTTTTGTTTTTGAAAGAAGTCTCTTATGCTCACCAATGCTGCATTTAATTAACTTACAAATACAATAAAGTTATTTTATGAAATATTATTGCAATTTAAAAGAACTATCCGTTTTCTTAAAGAATATATTTTAAAATGAAATTTATTTCTGTGATGTAAAGCTGAATTTTCAGCATCATTACTCCAGTCTTTAGTGTCACATTATTCTTCAGAAATCATTCTAATATGCTGATTGCTGCTCACAAAACCTTTAATTAATTTTTTGCTACTTCATATTTTTGAGGAAACCGCAATGCCTTTTTTCCCCAGGATTCTTCGATGAATAGAAAGTTCAAAAGAACAGCTTTTATTTTGAAATTGAAATCTTTTGCAACATTATAAATGTTTTTAACAGTCACTTTTGACCAATTTAATGTGCCCTTGCTGAATAAAAATGTATAATATCTTTATTTATTTTTAATCACACTGACCCCAAATGTTTATAATAGCATAATAGTGGTTTGTAATCCTTTATCAAAATGTAATTGAATAATGTTCTCTGCTTTTAAACCAGCTTCTCTTCACATAAAAACAATACAAAAATATATTACAGTCAAATATTCATAGGCTAAATGAAGTCCCACCCTACACTATTATCTGAATAATTACGTCACTCAGAAATCTGTCACATTAAATGCAATTTGATGTCTTAACTCTTCTAATGCCCTCTAGTGGATCAAAACATCAGATAAACACTTACAAACTGCACTGCAAAACCTCCCTTTTATGATCGAGTATTTCAATCACGAATAGTATATCAATAAAAACAATAGAGTCTGTCTGACCAGCGGGCTGCGAGCAGGTGTGGTGGTCTCTTTTCCCAGCTGTTCTTGTTGCTGCTGTTGAAGACGAAGCAGAGACTGCGTCTGCACGTGCTGCTCCTGGACCTGCTGAGCGATCACCTTTAGCTGCTCTGGGTACAAGTGGGCATCCAACGAGCGGATCTAACAGAAACACACAAAGAAACAGACATCAACACACATCCAAAAGACACCGGAGAGAGTGTTTCCTCTTAATATTTTTTGCCCGAGGAAGTTTCTCTAGCGCATTTCATGGATAGCAGCAGAGATTGGGGTGTAATTTGCACTTCAAGTGTGATGTTCAGAAACGATTCAAGCTCTCAGGGGAGCTGTGCACCTTCTGTGATAACTCATTAAATATGCAAAGACTAAAGAGAGCTAATTTTAGCAAGCAAACGGATGCAGCAAAAGAAAAGTTTGAAAACGGATTTCACAGATGACAGCTCCTCAGCACTAGGCCATGATGATGAATACAGATATGCGAGATTTAGTCAAGCAACATATCAAACAGCTCCCGATGAGCTCTACTGAAGATTTGCAAAATTTGTCAAATAACGACAAAAAAATTTAAAAATAATAATAATTATGACTGAGAACTCTCTCTGTAATGAGGTACAAATTAAGCTAAAAAGGGAGATTACAATCAATTAATATAGGATTTAAGAAATCCCAACAATTTTCTTGAGCATATCCTCTACAAATACACTAATATTGAAATGTTAGCCTGCAAGATTGCATCTTATTTTATATATTTAAATATATATTTTTAAAAAGTATTATACATTATCATTTATCTGCAATTGACCTATAATGTTATTTTAAATATAATTATCTCTCTATATACATATATATCAGTTTATCTCTTTAAAAATGTGACCCTGGACCACAAAACCAGTCATAAGGGTAATTTTTTTGAAATTGAGATTTATAAATCATCTGGAAGATGAATAAATAAGATTTTCATGGATGTATGGTTTGTTAGGATAGGACAATATTTGGTTGAGATAGAACTATTTGAAAATCTGGAATCTGAGGGTGCAAAAAAAATCAAAATACTGAAAAAAATCGCCTTTAAAGTTGTCCAAATGAAGTTCTTAGCAATGCATATTACTAATCAAAAATAAAGTTTTGGTATATTTACAGTAGGAAATTTACAAAATATCTTCATGGAACGTGATCTTTACTTAATAGCCTAATGATTTTTTGGCATAAAAGAAAAATCTATAATTTTGACCCATACAATGTATTGTTGGCTATTGCTACAAATATACCCCAGCGACTTAAGACTGCTTTTGTGCTCCAGGGTCACAAATATTTAAATATCAATAATTAGCAACAATCACATAGGCCAATTGTTTGTATATATATTTAAGAACTAAAATTATATCAGTCGATAAAATATTGAGTTTAGCGGACACTAATATACCTGTTCTTCCAGCATCATGCGAACGGAGCGCTCTTTATCCAGCTGTTGTCGGAGTTCGATCATCTCTCGCCGAAGATCCTCCACCTTCTCCTCCTCCAGAATGTCTGGAGATCCAATACCTTCATCCTTCTCCTCGGCGCGCCTCCTCTTCGGGGATGAGCCGCTGAACTCCTTCTGATGGGAGGAAGAGGAGAACATGAGACGTCAGGAATGTCCTCATAACAGTCATGTTTCATCTGTTATATTGATAAGTTATTATATTTCTATGACGAGCTTCACCTGTATGTAGCGTTTGAGTTGGGTGTTTTGTTGCAGCAGCCTCGTCTTTTCCTGCTCCAGAGAAAAGATGTATTCGGCCGTCTGCTGTAAGATGGCAGCCTGAGAGAGAAAGAGAACGTATTACATCCATCTGAATGTACTGGCATGATGGCCCACAGTTTCAGTCAAAGTGATGCCAAACATCTTAAGTGATGGATGCTGTAAGTACACGACCATTCATAAGTTTAAGATCAGTAAGATGTTTTTAAAAATAAATTAATAGTTTTATTCAGCAAGGATGGATTAAATCGGTCAAAAGTGACAGTAAAGACATTTAAGTTTACAGAAGATTCCTGTTTCTAAAGAGTTTCTGCTGTTCTTTTGAACTTTGTTCATAGAAACCTGAGAAACTACAGTGACCACAACAATACTCAGCAGCACAACTGTTTTTAAGATTATAATAATAAGAAATGCTTCTTCTAGTGCATCAAATTAGCATATTAGAATGCTTTCTGAAGGATCGTGTAACACTGAAGACTGGAGTACTGATTAACGGTGTGAATCGGCACTGGTTTCACGATTCAATTTGATTACGATCATCATGTCAACGATTCAATTCAATTCGATTACGATTATCATGTCAACTATTCGATTCGATAACGATTATCATGTCAACAATTCGATTCAATGCGATTACAATTATCATGTCAGCGATTTGATTCAATTCGATTACAATTATCATGTCAACGATTCGATTCAATTCAATTACGATTATCATGTCAACGATTCGATTCAATTAAATTACGATTATCATGTCAACGGTTCGATCCGATTACGACTATGTCAACGATTCGATTCAATTCTATTACGATTATCATGTCAACGATTCGATTCAATTACGATTATCATGTCAACGATTCGATTCAATTATCATGTCAACGATTCAATTCGATTACGATTATCATGTCAAAAATTCGATTCAATTACGATTATCATGTCAACGATTCGATTCAATTACGATTATCATGTCAACGATTCGATTCAATCCGATTATCATGTCAACGATTCGATTCAATTCGATTATCATGTCAACGATTCGATTCAATTCGATTATCATTTCAACGATTCGATTCGATTACGATTATCATGTCAACGATTCAATTCGATTGCGATTATCATGTCAACGATTCGATTAAATTAAATTACGATTATCATGTCAACGATTCGATTCAATTTGATTACGATTATCATGTCAACGATTCGATTCAATTTGATTACGATTATCATGTCAACGATTCGATTCGATATCACGATGCATCACGGTTATATCAAATTTATTTTGTACGTTTTTATTAAATTATATAAGCAGGCTACTTTTTAAAAATAATTTACGTTGATTAATTAATTACTTATTGTTAAGAAATAAACAAAGTAAATGTAGCTTCAAAACGTACAAGCAAATATAAAGTAATAAAGGGGGAAATAGACAATTACAAGTATACCTGATGTATGGCATGTGGTAACATTGGTGAGATAAAAAAAAAAGACCTCATTTAAACTTAAAGAAAATCATAATTAACATTTTAATTTTGTGGGAGCATTTACACTTACATAAAATCTAGATTAAAGGAATTCACCCTAAAAATGAACATTGTCGTTACTTGCCCACCCCCACAAATCTGTTTAGATCATTCCAATGCAACAAAACAGACGGTAAGTTTATCAATGAATAACGATTTATATTTCAGTCTGTTTCTCACAAAAAGCTATCATATAGTGACCAAAGACTGTAATATGGACCATATATATTACTGAAATTTTGACATCCGCACCAGTGATACTTCCATGTCAAGATTTTCAACCACTTTTAATCAGTTCCATGAATCAGCTTATCTGGTTCTCAAAGCTTTTCTGAATGATTCATTCACATATCGGACTGATCAGATTCAACTCATTGAGTAAAGGATTCAATCCCAGTTCACTGGAGGAGTAGATTATGAGAGAATAACCAAGAGAATTTCACACACATGACAGTATTACTGGAGAAGATTTGCACTATAGCATTAGAAGGTATGTGGACTACTTCTGTTGTACTTCTAAGACGCTTCTCCATCGTTGGTTAGAGCTTAAAACAAGTATGGGTTTGGAACAACCTGAGGGTGCGTAGGTATTTTCATTTTTAAGTGAACTCTTCATTCAAATCAACTACTTGATTTTCACTCTTCCCAGTTTGTTTACAAGAGCTCTCTGACTCACCTTGCTTAGCTTTTCGCCGTCACTATGCGGGATGAGTGTTTTCAGAGACTGGAAGCCAGAGTTGATGCTCTGCATGCGTCGGCGCTCATTACTGTTGGCGATTTCCCGCCGAATACGCCGCTCCTGATCCCGCGCCGTCTCTGGCGTGAGGGGAATGTTTGCTAAGCTGTGAAGAAGAGACATTACAGCACTTTAGTCTACCTTAAAAATATCATTATTACATTTAGGTCATAACGGAGCATGTATTACAATCATGTACTTAAAGAAATTACAAAAAAATCCATATCATGGCACTGTTTAGTTACTATACTGAAACCCCATATTATTTAAATAATACTGTAATGTACTTCAAAGAATCCCATGGTACTACCATACCATGATAATTTTCCCCATTTTAAGGTACTTTTTTTATCAAGGAAACTTGGCAAGATGTTTTGTTTTGGACAATGTGTCTGAAATGTAAACACTGAGATTTAAAGAAAGTAGAAGAGTGTTAAATGAATTATTTTTGTAAGTTATACTGTTTATATACCGGTAATAACTAAAATTGCTCTTTTTTTCCTTTTGCTTACATCTCTAAAACAGGATGCAACCTTGAGAGAGAGAAACACCAGAGTGCGAAGTAGAAAACATTGACTTTCCTGAATGCTCATCGAAGCCCATTGTCTCTAAATTCGAGCCCCTGGAAATATCTGCCTCCCACGATCACACGCGTGCTTTGGCCGAGGAAATCAAACCCTAATTGAACTTCCTCCCTGTCTGGGCATCTCACGGGGTATCTCTGGAAAGCCTCTCTTATCAGCAGCGCCTCAGCTGCATGAGGACAAACACTGGGAACAATTGTGAGGGAAGAGAGAGAGGTTTCCCTGCTCGCTTCCTTACGTCCAAGCGGCTCAAAACCCAGCAAACAGATCCAATGCCAAAATCACAACTAGAGCCAACTGTGGAACGAGAGATACGGTCAGATCAGCCGTTTCCAGCCATATGCATTGAATATGACCCAACTTCTTTTATGCATGAAAATAAAACGGTCAAAAGGGAGTTTAAATCTCAGTTTGGGGTGAGAGACTTTGCATTTGTGTAATTAAAGCTGCCATAAAAAATAAAAATATAACATTTACAACAGCAAATAGTAATACATACAAGTTTTATATTAAATAGAAACCAAACTATAATAATTTAAATTAATAATATTTCAATTATACAAATAATAGTAATGTCTTAATAATAATAATACTTAAACAATAATAGTAATAATAATTTACAACTAATGTTTTAATAATACTTTAAAATAATGTTTTAATAATAATAATCATTATAACAAATTTGATTAAAGTTGACAAAAGGCCAGGGTACAAGCTTGTAATGATTTATGACAAGATTGATCAAATATTACTGAACCCTGCTCATATGTCTGGGTGTTTTTACTCATAACACGTTATGAAATAAATTAACTGCTATTAAAAAAAAATATTAAAATATGCATCCCTCAGTTTAAACTGGACTGTTTAAAAACCATGTTAAAACTATTAGAGAAGGAACAACTGCCTTTGCTCTCTACATTTTCAACCAAAAGTTTTTTAACCAAAAAGCAAAAATAAAAATGCCAGATTGCTAGTAATATTATGTACACTTTATAAGCATAGCAACATTTAACCAACAGCAAAAGTACCACGTACTACCTTGGTGTTTTATATGATTGCAAAACCATGCTATTCTATGTACGTTGGATCACTTCAACCGATATATATTGATAACCCATGTAAATCTGCAAAGTGTCCAGTGAATAACAGCAGCCCAAACATACCCAACACCATACGCATCATTTGTATGCGATTTTCTTTATGGAAAAACTACAATTCCCAGAACGCCCTGCGCTAATCGGCTCACTGGCCCCGCCCCCTTCAGAGAATGGATCGCAGACGCATTGACGGGGCCTTCCTTCAACAGCATACACACCCCCTTATTAAAATAACACCAGTTATTAATTTACTAACCTCTAAATACCCCATATTCCACTCGCAATGGGCCGAAACTGTAACATCGAGCGAGATAATCAACATACTCGCTGGCCTAAATAAAAAACATCGTGTTCGCGGATGATACGGTCCGCCATTACAACAATGCGCTTCCTCCGTCCATGCGGCAGCAGCGACGCAGTCCAAATATCATCTGATCTCTCTCCCGCCGCACGCACGGCGAGGTTTCTCGCGCTCAACGCCCATTTCAGCCTCGTATGTGGGGGATACTCGTGTGCAATGGCAGTCTGGAGACTTTTAATGTTTGATAGCAATGAGAACCAGACGACGCCAAATGCACGAGCCACAAGCATGGCCGCACTGCCCACAATAACTTAAGCCCCAAAAACACGCGAGCTCGCGCCCAGACGCACTTTTAATCCACAAACCCCTCTATAAGAGGACAAATTCACTGGTGGGACGAAATAAGCGCGGTTTGTGATATTAAATACACGCGCGAGACCAACAGCGTGGCGTGCGTGCATGCAACCACGTGGTTTGTGTTTGTTAGACACAAAATGCATGATTTCGCCAAGATATTTCATAGGTAACACTGACCTGACAAGCCAAGGGGCTTCCATAGACCCCCGCGAGATGTTTTAAACGTAGAAAACCGAGTCTCGCATGGGTTCCGTCCCGTCTTAAGCCACTAGATCGGCGCATGTACACAATAACACAGAAATCATGCATGCATGTTACTCTCGTAGTAGCGCAGCTGCTGTTGGCGCGCGATTAAAGAAACGCGCACATATATGTGCGCATTTATTAAAAGAGGCTCTCACGTACCTGCACAAGCCCCCTATGACTTCTTTCTCGGTTTTCCTGAAATGTTGCAAGGAGGGCACCTTCTGAGCTGGTACCATGAAATACTCCATGCTTCTCTCCAGCTCTGGCTCCTCGGTCCTTCTTGTACTTTATCGGTTTAAAAACAAAACAGCTTCTTCGTGTCTCTTTCTCATTTAAGAAGCAGAGCTGTGCGTGTCCTGCTGATTTGGTGCATGAGCGCGTAAGATGAGTGTTGAGTTGTAAGGTTACTCTACTCTTCCAGCTGATGGGGTTCCCTCGTAGTGTGTGTGTGGCGCTCGCTCTCTTTCCCTCCCTCCTTCTGCATGTGTGTGTTTGCAGCTGATCGGATGTCTTTCAAGGCGGGAAACAGCTGGTAGGAATCACACACAGCACTGCACTACCAAAAAGCCTCCTTCCGCCGAACAGGAGGACTTGCGTGTAAACAAAGGAGTATTGCAACAGCGACCATGTTCTCCTGAAATCAGTTTCATGCTGATTGCATGCCAGAAATGGTCTTGTAATGGATGCATTTAAATGCCTTTAAATATCCGCCTCGTGTGCAAGAACATTCTGTGCATAAATGCATTGTATGCGTTAAATATAGTGTTTCTATATATTGCACGTCAATATTGTTGGTTCATGAGCCTAAATATAAATTAAAGCCTCATGCATGTCTTAAAACAGTGATCTAGAGCTGATATGGTCAGTGCAGGCTTTTTTTATTTGTATTTTTGACATTAAATCAGTTTTAAAGCATGAACCTAAATAGAAATCAATGCACGCATATTAAAACATGAATTGTGTTGCATATTGATATAAAAATATTGATCAACATCTGTTAAAACGATCAGTGCGTGTAAACAACTCATATTTTTCGTAAGCTATAGCTTTTATTTATTCCCTTTGTTACAGAATTACTGATCTGTTAAAATTATGCATTTTTTTATAAGCTAGCTTTTATTTATTGATAAAATAAAAAAAAAGCAATAATCATGTAAAATATCGGCGCACAGAGCAATGCATAATGCATATCTGAAAATCTTCTGTCTGGATCTGTTTAAATAGATTATTTCATTAGTACGGGCGCGTTTCATTTTAAAGCGAATGTAAAGGCAAACTCGTTCAAAATCAATGCGCGATGCAACTCATAATGAATGATAATATCGCTCTAGGTCTGTTATGTCGCTTGGTGAATGTAAACAGGTTCTTGTTCTTTGGCTGGAGGGTGAAACATGCGGGATCAGCTGATCATGCTGGCAGGGCTTTACAACACAACACCACCAACCAGCGGAGAAGACAAGAGAAGACAAGAGAGAGGGCTGACAACATTGTACCATTTTGGGTGCATGAAAGTTGTAGTTGTAGGAGGAGGAACAGGAGTTACCTAATCGCATGCTCGAAGCACAAATCACACACACAGACAAAATGGGAGCGGTCATGAAGAACCCGGAAATGTGTTTTACTGTGACTCAACACATGCTGAGGGCGAGATCATGAACGAGCATGCAGGCTGTGTGTGATATATGAACACAAACTTATGGAGGAAACGACACTGTTTCCATATTTCATCTGTTACAAGTTCTGCATGTTTCTGTGAAGCTGCTTTGAAACATGCATTGTTAAAGGCGCTATACAAAGACATTTGAACTTGAATTCATATGTCCACTTTTAATATGACACAGTATTTTATACATAATATAGTGAAATAATATTTGGTATCATAATACAATGATACAAATTATATTTTTATATCATTTTCTAATAAAACATTATTAGACTATAACCCACTCTTTAATGTTACAAGATTATTTTATATATATTTAAGGGTGAGATTGTATAAATCTGCACGGAAACCCGCTGAACCCCCCAGCAGTTGGTAATAAATGAATAGGCTATAAAGGAGAAAGGCATAGGTCTTATGATGTAAATAAGGTCCAATTTCAATAATAATAAATATATTCAATAGAATAAATCATATTAAATGATAGCCTAGAAATTGGTTAAGCTTTATCTGAATAAAAAAATGCAATACATTATCATTTGATACATTAAAACGGCTGCTAATGCAGAGGTTAATAGTCATACTTAAAATAATGATTATAGTCACTGCAAAATTTGATATTTTATTACAAGTTTTTATTAGCCTTCCTCATTTGCTCAACTATAATAGAAATGTGTTCATTTGTGACCCCGGAGCACAAAAGCAGTCGTAAGTCGCTGGGGTATATTTGTAGCAATAGCCAAAAAAACATTGTATGGGTCAAAATTATTGATTTTTCTTTTATGCCAAAAATCATTAGGATATTAAGTAAAGATCATGTTCCATGAAGATATTTTGTAAATTTCCTACTGTATATATATCAAAACTTAATTTTTGATTAGTAATATGCATTGCTAAGAACTTCATTTGGACAATTTTATAGGCGATTTTTTGCCCCCTCAGATTCCAGATATTCAAATAGTTGTATCTCGACCAAATATTGTCCTATCGTAACAAACCATACATCAATGGAAAGCTTAGCTTTCAGCTTTCAGATGATGTAGCCTAATCTCAATTTCGAAAAATGGACTGGTTTTGTGGTCCAGGGTCACATATTTGTTTTGCTTTCAGTCTATTTCTCCGTCTGTCGGATTCCACAGAAACAGTATCTTCTATGTGTCACCAATATAAACTTAAAATGAACAACTCGCATATGTACAGAGATACATAATCTTATTTTATTGAATTTTTCTTTTTGTCCTCATGCTGAGGAGCTGTGCTGCTTTGGGCAGCTGCCATCTAGTGGTCACCCAGTTCAGCTCTACTATCTGCCTCTGAGATTTTGCTGATTAGAGGAGATATATTACAAAAGGAAATGTAAAATATTTAAAAATAACTAGGGTAAAATAAAGTAAACCGTTAGGGTGTGAGAGAATATGATGTTATGTTAGTCTGTGAAGGCCTATTAAGACTATTAGTAAAATCAAACTTTAATGAGCCTGGAAACTGAAGATCATAATACAGATCAGCTCAACAAAATGTATACAAATACGGCAAATTAAATCCTTGTTATGATATAGTGCTCACCTCATGGCTTAATTACTTAAATAAAGGTCCGTTCACCAGCCACCACAAAAACTTTCAGCTGAAATCAAGCAAAAACTCATATTTACCTGCAAGATGAAACCTCAGCAAGTGTTTCCTGAGTGTAAAATTGCTTTTTTATAATATTTTATTTTACTATTGTCTACTATTGTATTCAGATTGAATCAAATTTCTTCACTTCAATAAAACCAGTTAATTTAGATATTACAATGAAGCACTTTTTAGATAGCTGACAAAATGACAAAACATTTTTTCAATGTACTTTGTTTGTACTTTGGTTTGGTTCGCGTTTGAAGATGTTTGGGAGAGTTTTACCCATGAACCAGTGCAACGCCAGCACCATGATCAAACACTGGGTCTATAAAACTCCAAAAAAGCTCCATAAAATTTGTGCACTATGCAAAATCTTCTCAAGAAAATCTTCGGTCATTATTTACTCATTCTCAAGCTGTTCCAAAACGCTTTTTCTTTCTTCTGTGGAACACAAAACAAGTTTTAGCCTTCTTTTGGTTCACACTCTTAAAAATAAAAATTCTTTATTGGCATCTATGCTTCCAAAAAGAACCCTTAACATCCGTGGAACCTATGTTTTGGCACTTTGAATTTTTATTTTCATATACATTTTCAATATGAGTATCAGTATTATTATACAAATATAATATTATATTCATGACTTTATATATATATATATATATATAATAATAATTATTATTACATCTTAGTACTATATATAATATTGCTTACATTTTTAAATTCTATATATTTTTGTTGCTTTGGAAACAGCAAATGTTTTTAATTATAATATTATTTATTCTAAAATATGTATTACATTATTTAAAATAATTATGTAAATAATTATACAAATATAAACTATAATAATTCAAATATTTATTTCGATTTAATTAAATTACATGATCAAAATATATGATGGGTATGTATGATATAAATATATATATATATAATTATACATGATGTAATACACCAATAAAGAAACTTATTGCAAGTATTGATTTTAATCAATTTATTACACACTATATTAATATGATATAACTTATATATTATATTATTATGAATAATCGCAAAGAAATTAAGCTAAAGCAAATGGAATAGATCTGAGGAAAGGGTCTAAGGAGGTAATGTTTATTAAAGCTTCGGCGATAAAAAAGCTTTATTACCATGCCAATAAAAATGTTGAGAGCGCTGGAGGGAGGAAGGGAGGGGAGTTTGTTTGGATGGGAGCCCAGGCCGGCCTCCTCAGCGCTGGACGGGGCGGAGCAGCACACATGCGCTGAGCTGGCAGAGTCACAGTCAGTCAGGGCTGATCCCTCCGCCCGCTGCGCCCGAGGAGAGGAGAGGAGACACGGACAGGCTCGAGTCCGGGGTGCTGGAGACCCACCTCATCACACACTGTCTCCAAGGACAACATTAAGGCCCCAGGACTGGAAACGACCAGAGGAAATCGCGAACCCGACACGGAGACACCATCCGGACACGAAGCTGAAAAGGGAGACGTCTCCTCTCCATCGCCTTTTGCGCACGACCACCCATTAAAAACCCCTCTGGACCAGCGCCGCCAGCAAGCGATGCACCTTGATGCCAAGACAACGATCACTCCGATCGGTTTCTGTTTGTTTTTTTAGCGCATCGTTCTTAAGCAGTCATTCCAGAGTCGATAATAACAGTACGGACACTGTGTTGACACACACACACACACACACACATGCATTTAACGGGTTTCTTCTTCATGAGAATATCCTCATGGCCTGAAACTGACATAAACTACTAAATCCGTCGCATTCACTCTGGATAGACGCCTTTTTATCCTCGCAAGTCTTGAGTTTTCTGCTGTTCCGAACACTGTCATGCGTGTCCAGACAACAGTCTGATGCTCTCAGACAGCAGTAGATTATTCAGCCACTGGTGACAGTGTGTTACAGGTCCTTTTGCATAATCTGCCGGGCCTTGCTTAAAAACTGACTCCTTATTTTGCAATCCAAGGGAATTGGAGCAAACATCCCCTCTGGAAAGTTTAAGGTGGAGACCAGTGCTGGGCCATAACACATCCAGGAGGTTTTACAGAAGGTAAGCCAGTCTAATGAACTCAGATGGCAGTGCAACCTTGCATCATTGATCTCCAGTGCATTGCCGTGCCAATATAAGCATGCATATTTAGTTTTGTCCAGCGAGCACGGTCACTCAGGGTAAGACACTGACCTATTTTCCAAGAGCGTATTCTCAGTTTATGCCCCGGTCTGTGTGATTTCTTAGGAGTTGACGTCTGCAGTGCCTCCAAAGTATGAGAAACGATGCTTGCACTAATGCACTTTAATAGC